GGTCTATCAGGTGCCACAGGACTCTTTGATGCCTGTATCTGTAATTTTCACTCCATGCATCTGAAGAAATGGGGTTTTTACTCACGAAAGCTTCTGCCCAAATACATCTGTTAGTCTTTAAGGTGCCACCGGACTCCTGGTTGTTTTTGTGGATGCAAACTGACACGGCTGCCCCCTGATACTGGACTGCTAAGGAAGCAGCAGCTGCTGTGGCTTTGGATCAGAGCCGGGGAGGTTTATTTTGACAGGAGGTAAGGAGACGGACTGCAGGACCGGGGCCACTGTTTCCATCTAGGGAGCGGACACAGCTGTGATGTGGGAGCTTTGATGCCAAAGCTGGCAGGACCACAAGCCTGGCTGCATTTCTCAGGAAAACGCCTATTGGCACTACAGCAGGGTCTGGGCCAGTACCACCCTGGGGTGGGGGAAAGTTCTGCAGCGGGGAGAGATGGCAAGGGGAACGTTAGGGAGGCTGTGAGCCGCGGGGAGTGATCCCTGGTGGGTGGGTGGCCTCAGGATACCCGTGGCATGAGCTGTGCAGTGAAAACCAAATCTATTTCTTGACTATTCCCACTGCTCCTTCTCCATGTGGAATTTAAGGGAGCCACGGAATAATTCCAAGTGCCAAGGAGTCAGCTGTTTCCGGCTGCTCTTAAAGTCCTAGGAAACTTACTGCAGCTGATGCCTTAGAAAAAAAAAAAAAAAACAACCACACAACAAACACACGCACTCTCCCAGAGCCTTGTGGGATATGTAGTTGGCCAGGCCAATCTTAGCAGATGAACTGCTTCCCTGTCCTGTAGGAATCAATGGGTAAGTTCCCATCTGACACCCCCCCCATCCTGAGTTACACTTGAAGCTAATTGAGTGATAAAGAACTCTTCAGGATAGGGCCTGTGTTTGTACAGTGTCTAATAGAGCCTGATTCAGACTGGGGCCTCCGGACATAGCCACCATACAAATGGCAATAACTGAATTAGTCACATATGGATCCAATAAAGGTGGGGGGCAGGGATCCAGCATGCCACTCCGCATGTCTCTCACCACACAATGGACCAGCAAGGACAATCAGAAGGAACTCCTCTGGACTTACCTCTTGTCTGGAGTGACCTCCACTAATTTAATCAACAATTAAAACCCCCCTCTCCTACACACATGCACAAGGTGATGAAGTGGAGGTTAAACAGAGCAGATTTAAAGGGACAATGGCTTCCTATGTCCAGAGCACGAGGTTAGGCTCTGCAAGACCTGACCTACTGTGTGACCTTGGGCAACTCATGTCTGCTCTCTGGGCCTCAGTTTCCCCTCCTGCCTTTCATCACTCTTGTCTATTTCAATTGCAGGCTCTTCAGGGGCAGGGAGCGTCTCTCATTCAATACAGCATCTGGCACAAAGGAGCCCTGATCTCAGCTGGAGCCTGTAGGTGCTGCTGTAATTTAAATACCAACCCCTTAGCCATCTCCTGGCCTGGCTTGCTCAAGGAAGATAATAAACATCATTCTAATACAATAATAACCACACTTAGAGGGTGCTTTGTATGATCACAATGCTACACACACAAATTCAGGCCCTACTCCCACAATCCAATCTGCCCCAGGGGACCCCAGCACCTATAAGGATCCCAATGCAAGTTTAGATTTTAAACTCCCTCTCTGTTGGTTGGTAAAGCATCATGCTAGACTGATAATAATAATAAACAGTGAGATAATATTACAGTGAGATAATATTACTACTGAGGCTTTGCAGGGCTCTTTTCCTCAGCAGATCTCAAAGCACTTTACAAACGACAGTCCTCATTATCCCCATTTTACATATGGGGAAACTGAGGCACTGAGCAGTGAAGTGACATGCCCAAGAACAGGCACCGGGCTCGTGGCAGAGCCAGGAACAGGGCTAAGTCTCTGATCAAATAACATGTCATAATCACTAACTGAGATAACACTCCTCCCACCCAAAATCCCTCTTTATCAATCTTAATCCAATCCCCACCCTTATCACCACCAGGCTTTTCTGTTGTTGTTTCGCAGCCGGGAGAAAGAAAGAACAAAAAGTTTTTGCAAACTCTTTGCGTCCCGATTCTCCTCTCGCTTACGGCCCGATCCCCCCCCTTCACACCGGAGTGAGACAGGAGTGAAACCGGTGTAGGACAGGAGACTTCCAGAGAGCCCTTAGCCACAAAGCCTTAGCTGCTAGTGGGCCAGCTGTGCCGGGGACGTGGGGGCGATCTGGGCTGGAGGAGTTCGCCTGCTTTGACAGCTCCTCCTGGGAAGCGAGAGAGCCCCCCCTCCCTCCCCCCGCCGAGCCTCTTCCACGTCCGAAATATAAACAGATGGATGGATGGATCCCCCCAGCGTAACCTCGTGGCAACTTCCTTCCCCGTCTCCCTTACAGGAGGCATCTCAGCCCCCCCCCCCCGGCCCAGACCCCAGCCCTCCCCACAAAGAAATCCAAAACTCCCGGGGAGAGAGGGGGGAGGAAAAACTCCCGGGGGAGGGGAAGATTCATTTCCTGCAGCACAAAGGGGGGAGGGAGGAGGGCAAAACAACCCAGAAAACTCAAGTCTCCGGCCCCGGAGCTTTTCCCTGCCCGAGGCTGTGTCTGCCCGGGCTCAGCTCCCTCCCAGCCCCGGCAGCAGCAACTTTGAAAGTGTCCCTGAAACCCCCCCCCACGTCCCCTTTCTTTTGTCTGCAGCTGCCCTGCCAGCCAGGCAGTCTGCATGACCCAGGCTCACCCAGCCCCTGTCCTTCCGTGGCCTCGCTGCCCCCACACGACCCCCCCCCCACCACCACCAAAGGACGCATTTGCACGGGGGGGGGGGCTTGGGGGTAGGGGATCCCTTTGGCCCTACCAGCTTTGCAGGGATCCTTATAGTCAATGGGCTCAGTGTCTTCATCGTCCTCCAGCTCATAGGTGTAATCGGGGAAGTCCAGGGCTCGTCCCAGCACCGCGAAGGACAGGAGCAGCCAGCACGCCCTGGCCCCGGACATGCTGGCTGGCGAGTCCCGGGCAGACGCGCCTCGGGACCGAAGGGAAAAGCGGAGCGGGAAGGAGGGGGAAGGAGAGAAGTGGAAGGAGATGGGAGGGTTTTCCCCCCTCGCTCTCGCTCTTTTTTTTTTAGGGAAATGAGAGCTGGTGGGGGCGGGTTCAGGCCGGGAGCTCAGCCCCTCCAGCCTGCAGAGTTTGCTCGCAGCCCTGCTGGGAACGGAGCCAGCCCGGGGTGGGGGAGAAGCGGCTCCCGGAGATGCTCTTGCATCGCCGCTCACCGGCCAGGGAGCGCCCTCCGCGGGGCCTCCGGGCCACCCTCGCCGCTGGGATCCCCGCCTGCCCGGGGCTGGGAACGCCCGGCATCCCGCGGCGCGGCGTGGGGCCGTCACACCCCGCCCCCGCGTGGGCACCGAGGGCTGGACCCGGGAGCACCCGCGGGGAGCTGGTGCTGTGCGCTGCCCTCTTGAAGTGGCAGATTTCTATAGGGCGGCAGCGGGGGGGGCGTTTCAGACCCCCCGGCTGTGAGCTGATCTCTGAGCTGCGGGGCCCCGGGGAGCCCCCTGCTATGGTCCAGTCCCCTCGCCCACCCCTTTGGATGCGGCTTCTTTCAGCTAAGCCCAGAGAAAAGGGCAACCCCGGGCTGCAGGGCTCCCAGCTGCCTGGGGAGCGATCAGGACAGCTAGGAAATGCTGCCCCCTCTCTGCTCCGGCCCTTGGTATGTTTCTTGGGGAGGGAGAAGGACTGGGAGAGTCATCCCCTGCTGTGATCCCAGGGCTGGTCGATGAGTGGCAGGGCTTGAGTGCCGGGATAGACCCTAAAGCAGCTGCTTGCTGAGAAGGAAACTGGGAAGCGGTCTGTTGGTTGCTTTTAATAGGGGCTTGCAATTAGCATCCACACTGGGGTCTCCACAGACAGGCCTGAACCAAAACCCTCGGTCCAGCCACTCCCAGGAGCCGAGCATCACAAGGAATTCCCCCCCTGCCTCCGGCTTCATGCAAAGAGGTGCAAAATGCTGCTGGTGGTGCGAGGGGCAGTTCTGGTGGGCTGGAGTCTCACACTCACTTTTCACAGGTGTAAATGGCTACCGAACTGGGCTCGCATGTAGCCCCCCAGGCTGGGAAGGGGACAGCATGCTTCCCCAGTGTCAGAGGAAATACAGGGAGGAGTGCTGTGCCCCTGTGAGTTCTCCATCTAGGAATCTAGCCATCCCTTCCCCCCTGCAGGGGCAAGTCCCTCAGATGCCTGGTACTCATTTCAGTAGGTGCACTGAGCATGGGAAGCACACTCTCTGTCCCGTGAATCTGTGTCACTTCGGGGGCCTGGTCTGGAATAGGACTGGAGAGTCCATAAGAGTGATTTGGACGGTGTGAACCCTCGGCCGGGAGTGGCTGGGGGCTGCACCCTTTTGCACATCTGGCCCCGCTCATAGTTTTCTAGCAGCCCTTCTCACAAGTTTCAAAGTAGCAGCCGTGTTAGTCTGTATCCGCAAAAAGAACAGGAGTACTTGTGGCACCTTAGAGACTAACAAATTTATTTCCGCATAAGCTTTCGTGGGCTACAGCCCAATTCTTCGGATGCAAGGTGAGTTTCATGCTGGTGAGATGTGCTGGCCTGACAGCCCTGGAGACACCCTCTATCCCTGGAGCTAGCACAGAGCTGGGGCAAGCATCCTCTATACACACACTGGGCCCCACCAATGCTCTCAGCCCCGGAGTTCTCCTCAGCCCACTCGCTCCTGGAGCCACCCAGGCTAAGCAGTGCCAGCTGCAGCAGGGGTTTCACCTGCACACGTGTGAGGTAGACACTCGGCCCCATAAGAACCCACCAGCTCATTCTGGCACAAGGCCAATACCTGTGCAACATGCTTCTCCACATGGGACGGATGCACAGGGCCGGACTCTGCCCACTGGAGAGGATGTCTGAGCAGCCAGGGGTGCTGCTGAGCCCCAGTGTTCAGCCAGGTTAACAGCAGGGAAATCACCGTAGGGTGACTGGTGTGCTGGGGGGAGGGAGCAGGGCAGGGGAATTGCTGGATGATGCTAGTAGCTATGTGTGTAGGGATAAAGCCAGGCCATGGCAGCAGCCCCAGCAAGGAGAGATGAACAGCCTTTACATGTGCAGGGAGCTCCTCACATGGGAAGTTTGGCCCAGCATCCCTGTAACGGAGGTCTGTGGGCGACACCTACAGGTCAAGCCCTGTCACTTCAGGCCTCTCTCGTGGCTGGCAGCTGGTGCCTGGCTTGCAGGATGACCCTGAGACCTCCTGTTGTCAGAAGCCCACCCAGCCTGTGCTTTTCTTAACCCTTTGGAAGCTGAGCCCTGGGGAACAAGCTGGCTGCAAACAGAAGGCCTAAGGAAGTGGGTACCAGGATAGCAGAGCATTATTAGGCAGAGGGTTCAGCAAACATTCCCTATCCTACTCCCGGATTGGGACTAGCCCCCTTGACTTGGCTGAGGCTTGGATCTCCCCAGGTTGTGCCCAATCTGCAGAACAGCAGTGGGGTTGTGCTTGTAGGTTATTCTCCACCCCAAGGGCAGCTATGACCAGAGGCAGCACATCTCCCACTTTGAACAGATCCTCACCTTTCCTTCCTGCCTCTAGGACTTCCTTGGCTGCATAATGAGTCTGGCAAGACGTGCCATGCGTCTCAATACACTAGCAACTGCTGGAGTAGTAGAAACCATTAGCTGCTATAATGGAGCTTGTGCAGACACTTCTGTAACTTTTACCCAGTTCATGTGACTGGGGCTAGGCCATAAACTGCATCCCAGCAGCCCTGGATATCACACCTTAGATAGGGTGAGTATGTGCAGGTGTAGGCTGTGCGTATATGGGTGGGAGCAGTGGTTTTGTTTATTAAAGTGTGTGGGAGGATACTGTGTTTTATATATATATGAGTGTGTGAATCAGAGAGAGTACATAGTGTTTATGATGTTTGTGTGTAGGTATGAGCAGCGTCCATACCTTTGCATTCACTAACTGCCCTTGTCTCCTTTACCTGCAGAACACAACCCTGGCTGCACAGCAGACAGAGAAAGCAGAGTTACCACTGTGAAGATGAGACGTTGTGGGGGGTTTCTTCCCTGCAGTTCTCAGTGGAATTTCTACTGCATGCTCCTCTGAGAAGGACTAGATCTCTGCCTGTATCAAACACTGAACACCTGCCCACAGAGCAGCTGGTGGTGCTGATGGGAGAGGGATGCTTTTCCCTCTCACAACTATGCTGTCTTGTTCCTGGTCTTCCTTTAGCATCTATCCTCCCCCCACACACACCCTCCTTCTCATTGCAGTCTCTTCCTCCCTCCCTCCACTGGACGCAGAACACCATGTTTCCCATCCCATGCCAAACCCCGTTGAGTCCAAAGGGTTAAGGGAGACCTAGGTCTGGGAGCGAACTCAGGCAGCACTGGGGGCTAGCTCAGCTACAGGGGGGAACTGCTGCAATGCTGTGCAAGGCCGTGATTTGTGAGGGTTGGCCACTGGCCAGCACTGGGATCAGCCCAAGCAGTGGCCACTAGGTAGAGCTCCAAGCTTGCTATTGTCTGTCAAGGGCAGTGCACATGCAGGGCTGAATTGTTACTAATTTGTATCACCATAAGTGCCTGGGAGTCTGAGTCCTGGACCAGGCCCCCATGGTGCTCAGCACTGTACAAACAGAACAGAGGGCTGGTCCCTGCCCCAAAGAGTTTACAAAACCCATACAACCCCCTTAAAATCAATGGGCATGATGTGCATCCCCATGTTTTGATGGGGTAGGATAGACCAGGGATTCTCAACCTTTTTCTTTCTGAGGCTCACCCCAATATGCTATAAAAATTCCATGGCCCACCGGTGCCACCACAATTGGTTGTCTGCATATAAAAGCCAGGGCCAGTGTTAGGGGGTAGCAAGGAGGGCAATTGCCTGGGGCCTCAAGGCCCATCTCCCCTCTCCCCTCCCCCACCCCCCATGAAGCTACGTTGCTTACTCTTTGGCATCAGCCCTGGGTGGCAGGACTCGGGGCACTGGACTTCAGCCCCATGCAATGGGGCTTTGGCTTTCCGCCCAGGGTTAGATTCTCCGCCTGCTGTCCTGGCTGGGGTCGGTGGCCTGGGCTACACAGGAGGTCAGACTAGGTGATTTAGTGGTCTCTTCGGGCCTTACACTCTGTGTGCTGCGATGCACTATGCAGCATATAACATTCCAATTTGCTAAGGACTTTAAATGCGCTGTGAACTGCTCTTGGCCCTTTTGCATGACTAGCCCCACAGCCGTGCACAGTGGAATCACAGGGGCTTGGCTTAGCTGCCTGAACTTGTCAGGTTCACTGGCCACTGCTTCTGCTCTCACGTCCCTGAGGTGATGCTCCTATAGGACCCAATCCTGCTCCCGTTGAAATCAATGGCCGATCTCGCAGCGGGACGAGGATTGTCCCCAACTTGCAAGTACAAACGGTTTGGAAAGGAAGTGTATTTAAAGTGGTTAATATTGTTATTAACACACACAGGCCCCCACTGAGCTCAGAGCCCCATTGCGCCAGGAGCTACCCACACCGAGAGAGACAGTCCCTCTTCCAAAGAGCTTGTGCTGTAAATAAGAGGAATCAGAAATGAAGGGACTTGCCCAAGGACACCCAGTAGATGAGTGGCAGAGCCAGGCCTAGAAACCAGTTCTGTTGACTCCCAGTCCAAGGTCCTGGGCATTAGGTAATGCTGCCTCTCCATTAAACAGTCAGGTTAATATTTTGCCCATTTGTGTGACAGTCTCAAACTCCTTTGCAAACATTAACATTCACTGCAGGTCAGTTTCCTTAGTCACAATACAGAGACTAGGACGGAGAGGGCAGGGCCAGCCTCATTTTCAGCAGGCTGAGCACCCTCGGCTCCCCCCAATGCCAGCTGGAGTTGCATGTGCTCGACTCCTCTAAAAATCAGGCTAGAGGTATCTCAAGTTGGGTGCCAAAAATCTGAGGCCACTTTTGGACAAAGTGCCTGACATTCCATAGTGAGTCAGTGGCAATGAAGAAGATAGAACCCAGGAATCCAGGGTCCCAGATTCCTGCTCTGGGTACTAGCTAAAACTTTCTTCCAGAGATGGGAATCGAACCCAGGAATTCCAGCTCCCCCTTCCTTTTCCTATCTGCTCAATAACATTCCTTGTCTCCTGTTTTCTTTTCAGTAACTGCTAAATTCAGAATTCCTCTCATTCCAATTCCTTACTCAAACATCACTGCTGAGGGGGAAAGCCTGTCTCTTTAATAAATCACCTTTGATGCATTCCCCCTTTATTTTCCCCCAGGGTAAATAATGTCAGGATATACTTCAATTACACAAAAGCGCAGGTTAATTTTAGACCCAACATTTAGATTTTTGTAAAAACAAGATTTTAAAGCTACTAAGTGCAATTAAA